GCATTTATTGGTTAGCTAAATGTCTTTAGATTCTGTAGTGTATCACTTTTTAAAATAATTGTACATAAACTGAGAGTGAGCCGTTTTCCAGCTAACTAGTTAGCCGCTAACTAGTTAGCCGCTAACTAGTTAGCCACTAACGTTGTGGAGGAGTGCACGTGGCATTTACGTTACTGACGTGAAACTTTCCTTTGTAGAGCAACATCTCACTGAACTGTGGCTAAACTGTGGATCTGTGTGTTTATTCCATGGTTTGCAGGTATGTTTATTTTTGAACTGTTAAATATTTTATTGAATACTGTTCATCTAAGTAATTTGATTAATCTTTATTGTCACAATTACAAACTAAATAGTTTTATGTTTGTAATAAATGTTATTGAGTTTCTTTATATTTAGAATCCTTTTTCTCTAAACAAATGATACCACTATACGATCACTGTAAAAGTATTAGAGGATTCTTAGCTTGGAGCAACATCTCACTGAACTGTGGCTAAACTGTGGATCTGTGTGTTTATTCCATGGTTTGCAGAATAAACTAATTGATATCTCAAACTGACTCCGGTGAAGTACAAAAAGCAACAGCAAAGCAGGACCCAAGTGTCACAGTAGCATGGGATTTCATTCTGATAAGGCAAAAATAGTGTTATTATAAATATAATACAAATATATATATATACACATTATGTACAAAATCAGTTTTTTCTGTCTTTATCTGTGCCACGCTTCAAAGCGGTTTCTGTCAACTACGACACAGAGGGCCACAGCACAGGTTCCTCCTCCATGTCAAAAAACAAGCTTAAAGCTTGACTCACGTTCAGAGTTCTCTTCATCATAGTTGAATCTTCAAAACTCTAAATCTATCTAACTATATCTAAATTCTCAATGTTGGTCTGTCACTTTACTTCAATCGCAGTCTCCCGCCGCCTGTCTTCGTATGTCTTCGTCTCTCTCCATTTCCCGCCGTCTCTCTTCGGTTCCCGCCGTCCCTCTTCGTCTCGTTTCGTATCACTCTGTTTACCTGATTACCTCACCCCCTCCCTGGTAAATACATCCTGTTGAGCAGAATCTACAGTTTCCAGTATTTTCCGTTTCGTAAAATGATAAAATACGGCGAAGATATTAAAATGTGTGCTTCCATTATTCATACTTCTGAAATATATCTGTATTAACTTTATATCATCGTATGTCCGTGTTTATTGGGTCTTTTTGCATGAAACAAAGACTGGCATATCGTTTCAAGCCAGTACTTTCGACAGAAATACACATATACATCCTGTTGAGCAGGATCTACAGTTTCCAGTATTTTCCGTTTCGTAAAATGATCAAATACGGCGAAGATATTCAAATATGTGCTTCCATTTTTCATACTTTTGAAATGTATTAACTTTATATCATCGTATCTCCGTGTTTACTGGGTCTTTTTGCATGAAACAAAGACTGGGATATAGCTTCAAGCCAGTACTTTCGACAGAAACACACGGCAATGTTGTCCGGACTGTTGTTTTTATGCGGCACCGGCTTGAACAGGTCATGTGATCTGATCACGCCGGCGTGACGGTCGACTCCAAAGGGTTCATATTAAATACATATAAGTATTTTTACAACTTGTATTTAGAAATACTCTGTTGTAATTATTGATGCATACATATGTTCATCCATTCAATGTGGCATCTGCTATAATGGGGTTAATGTATGATATTACTTAATAATACAATACATTATAATATATGATATGATAATTACATTTTAGTTTTATTCATTTCTTATTTCATAGTTTCTCATTATTATTATTTGTATCGCTCATCTTATTTTTGATTTTATTAATCTGTGAATCTGTGCTGTCCTGTTTTTCACTCTCACCCTGTTGCTGTTTGAACTACTGAATTTCCCCACGGGATTAATAAAGGTCCATCTTATCTTATCTTAATGTATAAGTTGATTTACTTCAATCTACTGTACTGTGTAAAAACACCCCAACAATATTACAAGAAATATACTGCATAAAGCAAACTATATACTTTATTTGATCTAAAACATTGATGTTTTTTCATTATAGTAGCCTGTGAAAACCATACAGTAACAAATAAGTGATTAAATGCTACAGTATTCAGCAAACACAACTGCAGAGCTGCAAACATTGCAAACAGACTAAGTTCTACAACACCCAGTTGTCTTTGTGTATTTTGTGAATGAAGCGCCATCTCATGGTTAAATCCTGTAATTGAACAAATGGGGAAATTGGGCAACGCCCTCTAGCAATTTGGCAACACCCCCAGCCACTGGCATCCGCTGGGCTTTTGACTGGGACACACCCATGTGAGTCTGATCTGGAGTGCTTCATCTGTAGCAAGGCTAAGCTCTCCAGGATTTATCCAGATAGATTGGATGACCGGTGTGATAGATGCTCTCAGGCCCCCTGCGACCTGACTCACATGTTCTGGTCGTGCCCTAAATTATCTAGCTTCTGGCAATCTTTCTTCGAATGTATTTCTGAAATTGTAGGTCTAAAAATCTCTCCATCCCCTCATGTAGCTATTTTCGGTAGGCCCCCAGATGAAATCAACATTACAAACACTCAAACCAATGTCATTGCCTTTAACTCCTTGATTGCTCGTAGGAAAATCCTTCTTTTGTGGAAATCTCCTTTACCTCCCTCTTTTAAAATGTGGCTGAGTGATACTATGTCTCTTCTAAAGTTGGAAACAATTAAGTTTACTCTCTGGGGTTCCTCAGATAAGTTTTACGCTCATTGGAGGCCACTGATCAGCTATGTAGACCATCTTCCCCCTGATATGGTGTCGCTGTAGGGATTCTCCCTTTATTTATCCGTCTATAATTCTGATATGATTACTCCCCTGTCCACCACATAGGCAGCCCATGTGACATCCCTGGATATGTGTTTGTATGTATGTATGTATGTATGTATGTATGTATGTATGTATGTATGTATGTATGTATGTATGTATGTATGTATGTGCATGTATATTATTGTATCCATCATTTTGTATTGTATTGATGTACTGTTGCCTCAGTGCTCCGGGAGAGGGGTGGTTGGGATGGGTTTGATGGGGCGGGGTTAAGGGAAAGTGAGTAAGGGTTCTTTTGGGAGGGAAAAAATGAAAATGCCTTAATTGCTGTAATGCACTGTTACACTTTTGTTTTTTACATGTGAATACAAATATTTGAAAAAGAAAAAGAAATACTAGTAGGCCTGGACGATAGTTTACCACTGAAGAATAAACAAAGAACTGGCGAAGTCTGAGGATGGGAACCAGGGTTTTAAGCAGGTGCAGGTGAGTAGTGGCAATCAGTGAGATGAACAACAGCAGCGGAGGTGAGTTGGCGGGAATCAGAATGTAGGTCAGCCACGCCCAGCCAGGAAGACAGACACACAGATAAACAGACAAAACAAACACAGAAGGGGGAAAAGAAGGAGGAAGTACTGCAGATCCTCACAGTACTCCCCCCCCCCCCCCCCCAACGGGAGCCTCCTGGCGACCACCAGGCTTGTCTGGATGAGCCCTGTGAAAGGTCCTTATCATCACAGGGTCCAGGACTCTGGAGCGAGGGACCCAGCATCGCTCCTCGAGGCCGTAACCCTCCCAATCCACCAGATATTGTAAGCCCCTGCCCCGACGCCTGACGTCCATGAGACGGTGCACTGTGTAGTTGGTCATCAATGATACGGGGGGGAGGAGGGGGAATGGTTGGAGGGCTCAGGTCACTGGTGTGAACAGGCTTAATCTGGGAGACATGAAAGGTGGGATGGATTCTCAATGTTCTGGGAAGCTTCAGCCGGACTGCAGAGGGGTTAATAATCCTTTGAATGGAGAAGGGACCAATAAAGCGTGGGGACTAGGGCTGAACGATATATCGTGTCATGGCGATAACCGCGATATGCGAGATATTCACACCGCAGGGACGTGCGGTTTAGCACAGAATTCAAAAATAAAGATACCCTTATTACTTATCGAAACTGCACATACAATATATCCGATTAAAGCTGATACTCCACAGATTATTTAAGTATAGTATCTAAGCGATCCGATCTCGCGACAGGGGAAGCAAACACAGACATCACAACACGACGTACCTTTACGGGGCTTTTACGGGAGATCGTCTCACCGTAGCTGTCAATCTGATCAAAAGACGTGTTCAATGGCATTAAAACGAGAAAAAACGCGGCTGAATCGGTTGATCCATAGGTTAATAATGTATCTGTAGCTTTGAAGCAATTGTTTATAATTCCATTTTTATGTAAAATCGGAGCACAAAAGTTAGCTGCTAATGGTAGCTACCAGAGTGTATGCAGCTTCCGGTTTTGGCTACGCGTCACTCTCACTCCTTATTTGTTCATGTGTTGGTGTGTGTAGAACTTCCCCTCGATTCCATTGGCTCTAGCGGTTATAAAGAGATTTCATTTGTCAAAATCGACCAAGGGGGTCCAGAGATATGGAAAATCCACCCAAATGACCCCAGAAGTGGGGTTTTTTCGCTAAATCTCTCTAAAAAGGTCAAATGTCACTTGTTTTGCATCAATCTTGATACAGGGTACTTATTATATGTTTTACTTTGGATTCCTAAAGCTTTTAGTCTACCTTACCATCATCCAAGGGTAGTTTTCACTATAAGTAAAAAATAATTTTTGGACGGACACTATAATTTACAGTTTTTTACGATGTTCAATCTGGATTTTCTTTAAAATAAAAAACATCTATATTGATTCTGACTTTTCTACATCCAACTCACAGGTTTATCATTACTTTGAGAAAAAAGATTATTAATTTAACCCTTTTAGAAGGGAAGATATGGTCATGTGTTCTGGGAATGTCATTTTCGAGCCTGAGACCTGAAAAACAGGCTCAGTGCTTAAGTAGGTGAATTAACTCAAACACGTCATGTTACAATTATTTTGCGCGGCTCTCATGTCAGGGGTACTTGAGTGAGTGACATGCAGGCTCTGCATGCACAGCAAACCACCAATCACAATCATTCTTGATCAGATCACACCAGGCCCCGCCCCGCTAGTTTGCAGACCATCAAAACACCGGTAAAAAATTAGCGAGGCACAGGAGGACAATACCGGAGAGAATGAAGATTTACTTCCAAAAAGAAAAGCAACATCTGCCATCTGGAACTATTTTGGATACAAAAAGCTTGATGTTGACCAAACAAAGGTACTTTGTAGACAGTGCCATGCAATTGTGTCGGCAACCCGAGACAACACGTCGAATTTACTCGCCCATTTAAACAGACACCACAAATCTCTGTATGACGAGTTCAGAGTCAGATCTGATTGCCATCCACAGCCAAAGCAAAAAACGATTTCAGATGCCTTTGCCGGTGTTACACCATATGAGAAAGGTTCAAAACGGCATAAAGACATCACAGATGCCATAACATTTCACCTGGCAAAAGACATGGTACCAATTTACACCGTTACCAAAAAGGGTTTTAAGAAAATGATCCGCTCACTTGATAAGCGGTACGTAATACCGTCACGCACCTATTTTTCTCAAGTCGCCATCCCCGACCTGTACGAGAAATGCAGGGCAAAAGTTGAAACAGAGCTGTCTAAAGTGGAATACTATGCTGTTACAACGGACTTGTGGTCCAGCCGGACAACGGAGCCGTACATAAGCCTGACGGTGCACTTTATTGATGAGGACTTCACACTGAAAAGTCGCTGTTTGCAAACGGCATTTTTCCCAGAAAATCACACAAGTGAGAACATCGCAGCGGGGCTGAGAGAAGCGGTGGCTGCTTGGGGCCTGGATGAGACACGTCAAGTCTGTATAACAACAGACAATGCTGCAAATATGGTGAAGGCTGCCTCCCTGAACGAGTGGACCAGGCTGCAGTGCTTTGGCCACAGACTTCATCTTGCAGTTGGTAAGTTACCCCGCCCACGTTTTATTTACTAAGCTGTGTCTGTGTCGAATGTGTTTTTTTTTTAAATAACCTTTATTCAGGGAAGTGTAACAGAGTAATGCTATCTTTTCCAGGAGTGCTTAACAACCTGTCCTGAAATGCAACAGTTTTCTTAATTTGAATGAGTTTCATAAATGTTACGTTTTATAAGCAATATATATATAATATTTATAATTCATTGTTGAAGGCAGCTAATTTCAAACTGGAGGACACACACACACACACTTGTAAATGTATAGTTAATATAAATGTGTATAATATTTAATCTTTACTTTTTATTTATTTATTACCCCTTAGAAAATGCAGTGAAAAAGGATGGCCGCATCAACCGTACTGCGGGTGTGTGCAAGAAGCTGGTGGGTCACTTCTCTCACAGCTGGAAGGCCAGAAGTGCTCTTGAAAAAGCCCAGAAGGAACTCAATCTGCCATCACTGACATCATTGTGTGATCAATGGCGGCAGGTGCAGTGGGTGCAGTCACAGCTCTCTTAATACACGCAATACTTTTGAACTTTTTAAGACCTGTTGACATAAACCAGCAACAAAATGCACAATATGCGAACAAGGCTGATCTGTTGAGCCAACAAACCCATACAACTCTTGGAAACTTTGGATATGGGAAGCACACTCTAGCGGTGTCTCTCATTTTTCCATCTTTATACAAACGGCTAAAGAAACACTCAAAGCCACAAGCTCGCCTTCAACAAAGTGATGCACTGCTAATCACCATCTGTCTGCTGCTATCTGGAGATATTCATCCGTGCCCTGGTCCATACCAAACTACACCAGAGAATGAAGCCAACATCACGGCGGATGCTACAAGCAATACACATTTCCAACAGAGTGCTGTTTGGCCTACCACGGGTGTCGGAGATGGAGTGGAAGTCGCGGCGGACGGCTGCGGGCTGGTTGGAGCTGCGCGGTTCGGGGCTGACCGACTACGACGGACTGCTGCGAGGAGTGGGGGGGACGATGCACCAGCACGGCAAGACATTCATAACACCGCTGTATCTGGGTGTAATAATCCACGTACATTTGGAATCAGTACAACTCAAAAGGTAAACAGGAAACAGGAGAATCCGGTGATCACGAAGAACAGGAACCGGAGTATCTTTCAAACTGAATCACTCAAGGACAGTCTGAGATTCCAAAGCTAAGCCAAAGGGCCTTTTAGGTGGACATTTGAACATACGAAGCATTAAATCTAAAAGTGAGCAAATCCAGCATCTTTTACTGGACTCTAATCTAGACTACCTGTGTTTTATCTGAGACCTGGCTTCATGAGTCCGCTCCTACAGCAGCCTTTGACGTGCCCGGTTTTAACATTTACCGGAGAGTTGGACGCGGCTCGAAAGGGGGCGGGGTTATGGCGTATGTGAAGGATAGCATCCAGTGTAGTGAAATTCAGTGGTCTAATTGCAATGAACTAGAATGTGTTGGTGTCAATATAACTTTGTCACCACAAATGTCATTTGTTGTAATAGCTATCTATCGGCCTCCTTCTTCAAACAATCAATTTTATGAGAATTTTAGGAAATTATTAAGAGAATGTAATTTTAACAAAGAAGTTATTATAATGGGCGATTTTAACATCAACTGGGAGGATACATCTGTTAGATAGAATCTTAAACAGATAACCGATAACTTTGACCTTGTGCAACTGATCAATGGACCTACAAGAATCACTAATTCCACCAGGACACAAATTGATCTAATTTTTAGTAACAAACCAGAGAGAATTTTTAAATCTTTTAATATGTTAACTGGTCTCTCTGACCACAATATGATTCTAATCGCCAGTAACCTAACCAAGAGGCAATTTAGCCCTTCATTCAGGAAAAATGATTCTTTTGGAATTCCCAAAAACAAATATGAGACCTTTATAAATGCTGTTCAGCATATTAAATGGGATGATCTTTTGCTGGGAATAGACCACGAAGACGACAGTAAAATGTTCTCAAAAACATTAGAGAGCACTATCAGAGATTTCAATTGCAAATTCAAGCAGAAAAATAAGAAAAACACTGTCCCTTGGATAAATGACGATATTTTAAAACTGATGAAAGAATGTGATCTAGTCTTAAAAAAATCAATCAAAACTAAATTAAGCCATGACAGGCATCACTTTGCTATGCTGAGGAACAAAGTCATTAAGAAGTTACGGAAGGCTAAGGCAGACTTCTTCTTGACTATAATAGACAAGGCAGGGGGTAATTCTAAAATGATCTGGAAACAGTTAAAACTATTCACTGGAAATAAATATAAGGAAAGAAAACAGCTTGAACTTAAAGTCAATGGAAAGTTTATAAACAATCCAGCTGACATAGCTGAAGTTTTTAACCACTACTTAATTGATTCTGTTGCAACCATTGCACAGTGTTTCTCACCTGACTGCACACATTTTTGTTATGTTAATACAAATGAGCCGGCTTTCAGCATAAGAAATATCACTGAATCTGAAGTTATAAAAGTGATTGGATCACTTAAAGCATCGAGAACAAAGGATATACTTGGCATGGACATGGTTATGCTAAAAGATCTCAGCACAACACTTTCTAATCCTATTGCCAAAATGATTAACCTCTCCTTCAGTCAGGGAATGTTTCCAAGTGTTTCGAAGCCGGCTATAGTTATCCCAATATTTAAAAGTGGAGACCCCATGTCTTCCTGTAACTACAGGCCAATTAGTATCCTTCCTACAGTGTCAAAGGTTGCTGAGAAACTTGTGTCTGAGCAAATCATTGACCATTTAAACACTAGTACATTTTCTCTGCAAACAATGCAATTTGGCTTTAGGGCAAAATACTCAACAGAGACCGCCAACTGTTTTTTTTACAGAACAAATCAAATCAAAAATGGATAAAGGTGGTGTTGTAGGAGCTGTGTTTCTTGACCTAAAAAAGGCTTTTGACACTGTTAATCATAAAATACTCATATCTAAGCTTTCCAGTTTTAACTTTTCTTCACAAACACTTAGATGGTTAGAATCATATTTGTTTAACCGATCTCAGTATGTGAGAGTTCAAAATCATGAATCTGCTGACCTTCATCTTTCGACAGGGGTCCCACAAGGTTCAATCCTGGGATCATTACTATTTTCGCTCTATATAAATGATTTACCATCTGTATGTCCTGACACAAACATCCAAATGTATGCAGATGACACTGTAATATATGTACATGGAAGCAATATGACACAAGTGGCTAATGAACTGACAAACACCATGGTTCATGTAACAACTTGGTTGGAACAATGCTGTTTGCAACTAAATATTTGTAAAACAGTATGCATCTTCTTCACCAAAACAAAGTCCTCTTGTGTTGCGCCAGATGTTTTTGTGTCAGGGGAGAGGCTGTAGGTGGTGACACAATACAAATACCTTGGAGTCATGATTGATTCAACACTCAATTTCAAGGCTCAGGTTAAAAAAATATGTAATAGGGTCAAATTCAGTCTGTCGAATTTTAGGTTCACCAGAGATTACATGTCAATTGAGGCATCTCTGATGTACACACACTCTATGGTTATTTCACACATCACCTACTGTTTAACTACCTGGTCACATGCCAGTACAACAACATTAAAACCACTGGAGTCATTGTACAAACAAACACTCAACATACTGGACAAAAAAATCTGTTTTTTCGCTTCACTGCCCAATACTCCAAAAATACAACTTGCTAAGCTGGGTGGGAAAACCTCATTAAACAAATGCTTGCCTTTTTTACAAGATTGTCAACGGCCTTACCTCACCTCCTCTTAGACAGTTTATTAACATACGCACAACTGCAACGAGGGTAACAAGAGGTGCAGCGAGAGGAGATTGCATTATTCCACTCAGAAAAAGTTATTTCAGTCAGTCTTCATTTTCTGTTAAAGCTGCTCAGCGATGGAACTCAATCCCACCTCCAATCAGAGACCAGACCACATTCACTTTATTTAAATCAAAACTCAAAATATGGTTAATGAGGAATCAGCTCTGCCAACACTGACCCAATCTTCTGCTCCTTACAACCCACTGCCTGTGTTTTAACATGTTCTTTTGTTTTGTTTTATTTGTTTTGTTTTAATGTTCTGTATTTTAAATTGTTTTATTTAAGTATCCCAGTAATGTCTGTTGCATGTTCTAAATGTATTGTATTTACTTGTTTAAAATGAAATGTGTTTTAGGTTGACTTTTAAAATCTGTCCAGGGACTACAGATGAAAAATAGCCTCTTGGCTAACTCTGGCACGTTTACAGAAATGTTCATTAATGTGCACTGTCCCTGTTAAATAAATGAATAAATACAAATAAATGTAAGGAGGGGCAGCTTGTCTGTGGCGGTTGGCTGACCGTTGGTTCCGAGCTGAAGTCAGGAGGAGAGCAGAGCGAGTGTCTCTCCAGATCTTCTGACAACGACGAACATGCTGCGGGACCGAGGGGACTGCTAGTTCTCTTTCCTCTTCAGGGAACAGGGTACCCTAACGAGGCCTCAAACAGGGAGAGACCAGTAGCAGAACAGGTTAGGGCATTATGAGAGTACTCAACCCAGGGAAGATGGGTGCTCCAGGTAGAGGGGTTACGGTCAACGATGGAGCGGAGGGCTGATTCCAGGTCCTGGTGTGAATTGTGGTGTTACCCTGGGAGGGAGGCAGGCCGGTAACAAAGTCCAAGGCGATGTGTGACCAGGGACGACTAGGGATGGGTAGAGGCTGGAGCAATCCTGCAGGTCTTTGGTGGGAGGACTTACTCCTAGCACACATGGGACAGGAAGAAACAAACTCCTGAGTGTCCTTGTTGACAGTTGGCCACCAGAAGTGTCTCTTAAGAAAGGAACGTGTGCGGTTTACTCCGGGATGGATGGAGAACCGGGAACTGTGGACCCACTGTAGGACCTTGGAGCGAGCAGCATCGGGAACTAACTGACTGTTCGGAGGACCGTTACCAGGGTCTGGTTGCTCTCTCAACGCCTCCTGGATGGTGTTATCAATATCCCAAGAGAGGGCGCCTACAACACAACTCTTGGGCAGGATTGAAACAGCAGAGGACTCGGGAGAGTCAGGCGAGTACAGTCTGGATAGAGCATCGGGTTTTACATTCCGGGAACCTGGACGGTATGTGAGACAAAAGTTGAAACGACTAAAGAAGAGAGCCCACCTGGCCTGTCGGGAGTTCAGCTGTTTCGCTGACTGGATGTAGGCGAGGTTCTTGTGGTCTGTCCAGACCAGGAATGACTGCTTGCTGCCCTCGAGCCAGTGTCTCCATTCCTCTAACGCCAACTTGACTCCCAGAAGCTCCCTGTTTCCAACATCATAATTGCACTCAGCAGGAGAGAGGCGGCGTGAAAAGAAGGCACAAGGATGGAGGATGTTATTAGAACCAGCTGTTTGCGACAAGACAGCTCCCACACCAGTGTCTGACGCATCAACCTCCACAGCAAACTGCTTCTCAGGATCTGGCTGGATGAGGATGGGAGCAGAGGTGAACAGGGACTTGAGTTTGAGAAAAG